CCAGTTGACCCAGTGTGTCCAGCTGATGACCAAGATTAACTGTCACGCTGGATTTTATGTGGATAAATAAAATGACGTGTGTACATAGGACATGAAAATGGAAGTATAATTGTCTGTGAGGAAAATGGGACTAAGCAGAGTGGAGAAGAGGGGATCTGCTCGAAGCACAATACATATTTGTATGAAAATGCCCTTCTCTTACATAGTGCTTGGTACAATACCACAATGAAAATCTTACAAAATAGTAAGCCATAATTGTGTGTGTGTGGGGGGGAGGGGGGTGTTGTCTCAAATGCCAGATATACAGTTCTGCCTTTCAGGAGTTTGTTTTATAGAGGGAAAAAAAGGAAGCTGGTGCAGTGTGTGTGTGTGTGTGGGGGGGGAGCATTATTTTGAATTTCCAAGGTTAGGGAAGTATTTTGTTAGTGAAGTCTTTTACTAAGTGATGTCTGTCTGTCTAGACAGGGGCTTAGGTAATGAGAAGTCTGTGTTTCTTAGACGTTAGGTTGATGATCTGTGGGCAGGTAGGAGAGTGTTCATTCTGAGTTACTCTCTTCATTACTCTTACTTTCTGAACAGAAATGCCTCTCTGAGGGAAGATCCTTTGCCTTGCTACTGACTTGGCTATTCCTGGTAGAGGAAGGGGTCAGATACCACAGGGATATGGGGGAGGATGAGAATTTTGTTCCCAGAATGTGGTATAGATGAGAATTTAACTGTGTACTGGTATTCTGGAAACTGGGTGGAGATTGTATCTGATCCTTAATCTACTGGTCTTGTACAGATGCGAGTCATAATGCATTCGTCACACCCCACTATGATCTCATTCCCCCTTAATTATCTGTGTAAAACCTCTGCCTCCCCATAGAGTCACGTCTTGGGGTACTGAGGGTTGAGATTTCAAAATATTAGAGAGGGTGCCACAGTTCAGCTGTGGTGGGGGTGAGGTGATGAGTTCAATAGGTGGTTTTCTGCCGATGCTCTGGTTATTAATGCCCATGTCCTTGGAAGGCTCCAGAAGCTGGTGTGACAACTGAGCTTGCTCTGAGATCATTCCCAAACTGCAGAACTTCCGGTGGTAAGACGGAGGCAGTCCCACAGGGTGGCTGGTCACCCCACAGGGCTCCAGAGGATGGCTCTCTGCATCTTCTCCCTCCTCTTCTGCCCGAGCTGCAGAGCTTCTTTTCGGTGTCCACCTCAGCATCCCCCACAGAGCTGATGGTCTCCACAGTCCTCTCCTGTTGGGAGGAAAGCCCACCCAAGACCACTACATGGACATTCTTGAAGCCAAAAAGAAACTCTTTATTGCTGTGTGAGGAATTTGCCTGAATCATGCAGCCCTGAGCCTTACAGCTCTTCATCTTTAAAGCACAAAAACCACATCCTGGTTGTCAACATTTCAGTTAGCAAGAGGCAGAGCTACAGAAGCCAACGGGTGAGCTTAGGACATTTAGGGACCTTCCTGGAACTATGGACTAGGTCGTTGATGGGTTAGGTCTTTGTTCCCATTTTGACAGGTGTTGGGGCCCTCGTGCTGGGTCTTAAGGTCAGAACGCTGCCTCTATCGTGGCATCGGCTGTGCTAAGTTCTGGGGACCTGTTACACTCTCTCTGCCACAGTCTCTGATGGCATCATCCAGACCTGGAATTCTACTCAGGTCTGAGATTAATAACCGGTCAGAGCAAAACTCACTTGGTTCGTGGCCCAAAGTGAAGTACAAAGTGGGAAGTGTTTTCTAAGCCCTGTTGGGTCTGAGGTGGATCCCGCTGCGCTCTGGCGACGCTTCCCCATGCTCCCTGCACCCTGTCATCCTCCACACCAAGCAGCCGTCCTGTGAATGAAGTGGGAACAGGACATGGGGCAGCTGCGGCCACTCTGTGGGGCAGGTGGAGAGACTGAGGCTTAAGAGCTATGGCTCTAGCAGAGTCTCCCACTGGCCGGGGGTGTGGCAGGATAGTTCTAGCAGTTTGTTCAGAGTGCTGACGAGTCCAGAGCTCAGCCCAGCACAGGCGTTTCTGCCAATGGGGGACAGAGGTCGTTGTCACAATGGTAAGGCCAGGTACTAGTTACTTGTCTTCTGCTGTGAAAAACACTTGACAAAGCCATGTAAGGAAGGGCTTATTTTGGTCAGAGTGGGTGGGTACAGTGCACCCTGGCATGGCAGCCACAGCAGCAGGAGAGTGAGGCAGCCGGTCACATTATACTTGCAGTCAGGCAACAGACAGAGCTGAGCGCTGGTGCTCAGCCCACGGTCTCCTTTGTATTCAGCGCAGGACCCGGTACATGGAATCAGTTATCTATGATCTTCACACTGATTGACAACTTATCAGGGTCCTGACTCACCTAGGAGACAAATCCCTGCTCATGTCTTTGAGAGGTCCTAGATTAGGTTAATTGGAGTGGGAAAAGAATGCTCTAAATGTGGAAGACAAATGGCTGATGGGCTGTGGTCTAGGCATCTCCTCAGGCTGTCTGGCCAAGCCCAGCTTGTCTCATTTCTTGCTCATGTGGAAGCCTAGCTGGAGAGTGCTGTCAGGGGCAGGGGGCTTGGGAGCTGTTGGAGTGGCTTGAATGTGGAACATCCCCCTACTTGGTCCCCAGCCCGTGGTGCTGTTTGGAGGAACATGTGGGGCTTTAGCAGATGGGCCTAGGTGGAGGGAGTGGATCACAGGCAGGGTCACAGCCCACTGTGTTCCTAGCCCCAGTCATCTGGTTCCTGTCTACTGCTTGCCTTGTGACCCAGTGCCTTATACTCGTGCCGACCGAGCTGGTCCTGTCCCTACCATCATACCTTCTCTGCCATAACGGACTGTGTCACCTCTCTTGTGTCACAGTGACAAGAACAGTAACACAAGAGTCTCAAAGCAAAGGACAGCGAGTCATATCACAGCAAAGTTACTCCTTTGATAGCTAATTCTCCTTCAGTTCTTCTGATGGTAGCAAAGAAATTCTGCTCCAGTCTTGAACTCCCATCTATCCCTGGATGATTGCCAGATCACGAAAGATCACTGTTATCCCGGAGCCCAGAGCAGCAGCAGTACCTGACTGGGCTTGAATAATTCTCTTTTGCTTCTACTATAATTGGTTCACTTTGATATGCGCTGAGTGGTACTGTTTCCTGCATTTGGGGAATGGCTACTAAGTATCTTTTAAAAATGTCCAAGAGGGAAATGCGAGTAATTTAGAGATATTTAGTAACTAGCAACACAAAAGGTGTGGAGGTACCCCAAATGAGGTGAACAGATAGTGAAGAAGAGTGACTTTTGAAGTGCTGGGCGGGAGGAGAGGTTGTGACTCCTCTGGACCTGGGTGGGACTTGCTCAACCGGCTGGACTTGTGGCTTGGGGGCAGGGGGTGGAGTGGGGGGCGTGGGGGGGGGCTCATAGCACCGGCTGCAGGCACACGGCAGAACAGGACTTGGATTTGGTGGTTTCGTGTGGGGTTTTGGTCATGGTTTTTGCTTTAGTTACTCTCCTCAGTGATATGACAAAATACCTGAAGGACAAAAGGAAGAGTTGGTTTTGTCTAAGGTTTAAGCTGGAATTCAATCCTTCATGATGGGTGAAGGGACTCTGTCTGTCCCGAGCATGGCAGGCATGGCTGTGGCAGGCCTTGCCCTTCTCCCCCATTCCCTCTGCCTGCTAAAAACTGTCAGATGACATTCCTAAAACTAGTCACCAAGGTCTATTCCCTTATTTGGTCACTTCCTCCTCCTGAGGCTGACTATCAAAGTCCAGCTATCAAAGTATTGAAGTCCAGCAATCAGAAGCCCCCTTTGGCTCACCTAATTAATGTGCCCAATTAAAATTAGGCACCTTATCCTAACACAGGGGTTTCCTCATTTACCTTTATAAACCACCATTTACCTATGGGCCACATCTGTCTCCTCTCAATCCAGAGACAGTTCTTTGTCCTGCACACACACACACACACACACACACACACACACACACACACACACCTACCTGAGGGTAGGGGACACTGGCCTGGAACTCACTATGTAGCTCAGGATTGAACTCAATATGGTGGTTCTTCTCCCTTTGCCTCCTGAGTTCTGGAATATAGGAATATATTCCATAATGTCACCTAGCTCAGCTTTAATATTTTTGAAATGTTCCTAGTTAGGCAGGGCAAAAGGAAAAAAATAATTCTTGTGCCAAGTCACAGGGCTTTCCTTTGGGAGAATTATCTAGAAAAGAGAAGTGCAAAGTGAAACGCTCACCACAAGGCTAAAGTCTGGGGGCGGGGATTTGGTGCCATGGCTCTTGCTGGTGGAACCTGGGTCACTTTTGTGGGGTCTAGAAGCAAACCTAGGTTAAGACACTCCTCCCAGCCCGAGGGCCCCTGATCCAGAGTGGACTTTCTCACAGCATCAGGTGTGGAGTTTGCCTTACTGAACTTGAACTCGGAACATCTGCGTCCTTGAACCAAGGCAGTGAGCCGCAGCTCCAGTCAGCAGCAGCTTGGTGGGATTTGCATGTGAGGTGATTGCTGTGTGGATGGGGCATGGGCTTGGCTCCTCTTTAAAGGACCCTACGACTGGTCAGTGGGTCCTGTGCACAGACCAGCATCTGGCATGTGCACCTTGGCCTTGCACACAGAGTGTGTGGACTCATTTCCAGCGACTGCCCGGGAACCCTGGTCAAGTTTTCTGTAAGTGGGGACACACATTTGGACTTGCTGTCTTTCAGCTGCTTTCCTCGACAGCAGCCACCTCTGGACACTAGCAGGTCAGATGCTCAAACATGGCGGCGCCTCCCTTCTAACCTCTTCTTTCTCTCACAGTGCCTAAATCGTCTTTTACACTGGTGTTTTTAGCACATGTCGGAGTCCTGCTACTTCTCCACTCCGGCGTCTACTACCATTTCCTATGGATACTTTGATTCTTTTCCTTCCTTGAAAACACAGGAGGAAACAAAAAAGAAGTAACAAGGCTACTGATTCAGACCCTTTGATCCTGTGATCCACTGCTCCTGATACAGTTTCTCCACAGGAAACACCTGTATGGATTATTTCGCTATAACCCCATGATGCTTGGACTGGAATCCCTCCCAGACCCCATGGACACCTGGGAGATCATAGAGACCATTGGCAAAGGTACTTATGGCAAGGTCTACAAGGTATCCAACAAGAGAGATGGGAGTCTGGCAGCTGTGAAGATCCTGGACCCCGTCAGTGTGAGTAATGGAGGGACTTGTAACTGCCATCTGGTCTTTTGGGCACATTGAGTTTGTGATTTCTTTTTCCGAGTTAGGGATAATTTTCATGAACGCTGTCAGGAAATCTCAAAATGAATCCTGGGTTGTTAGCGCCTATGAAAGATAAGACATGGTTTGGAATTAAATTTTTTCCTGGCCTTGCTGGGCGTGGTGGAGGATGCCTTTAATCCCAGCACATGAGGGGGTGAGAGAATAGGGGGCAGGGAGGGTGGGTTGAGGGTTGGGGGCGCACAGAGGCAGGCAGAGAGGCCAGCCTGGTCTACAAAGCAAGTTCCAGGTCAGCCAGGGCTACATAGAGATACTCTGTCTCAAAAAACAGAAAACAAGCTAACAAAACAAAACAAAAACAAAGCTTCCCTGGACTTTGGTTTCTTGCGTGTTTTTTTTTTTTTTTTTTTGCTGTTTTGGCTTTAGTGTCTTGGGCTGTTAAACATTGTTCTTTTGGGGGAAAATGCTATATTTCACTTCCTGTTCTTCCTGTAAGTCACAAAATGAACCTGCCTCATGATATTCAATCATCTGAGGTGACATTTTCTTTCAAAGCGCCGAGGTCACCACGCTCTGAGCTGGGCTGCACAGGGAAGTTGTATCTTGTGTGGGCCCCTTCAATCTTTGAAAATTCTTCATTTTTCAATAAAAAGCTATTTAGAATAATAAAATTCATGAAAAATATTATAAAGAAATTTTATTGTTTATAATAACCGAAAGGTTGGAATTGGGGTCAGTATAGCTCTTGGGTATTTTTAATATCTGACAATGGTGACGTTAATATATAGTAGTCTAGTATGGTGGTACACACTTGTAACTCCAGCCCTTGGGAGGTACAGGCCTTGGGGGGGCGGTTTGAATTGGAGGTCAACATGGGATGCACAGTGAGTTTGAAGTCATCTTGGGCTACATAGTGAGATCATGTTTCAAAAAGACTCAAACCCATAATCAACATGCTTTGTTACTTGATGACTTGAGTACAAAGTCCTTTCTGCATCTTTCCTTACATACCAGTCTAAACCAAGTACATTCCTTTTTTTTTTTTTTAAACCCCTTTAGGATATGGATGAGGAGATCGAGGCTGAATACAAAATTCTGCAGTTTCTTCCTAATCATCCCAATGTTGTGAAGTTTTATGGGATGTTTTACAAAGTGGATCATTGTGTGGGAGGACAGCTGTGGCTGGTCCTGGAGGTAAGAGGCTTCTGTTGCATAAGCCGAATGCTGGGGGCGAGTAGGTGCCTTGTTGACCAGCGTGTTTACAGGTGTGCATTGGAGGGGTAGGTCTCTCCTGTGCACCAGACACCGGAACAGATGTAAGACATTGTAGTACCCGAACGGATGTGAGACATCACAATATGAACAGCAAGGAGTGTGGGTGAGGTTTCTTCTTTTTCTGGTTTTAAAAACGCAATCCTCAGCGGGGCAGTGGTGGTGCACACCTTTAATCCCAGCACTTGGGAGATAGAGGCAGGTGAATCTCTGTGAGTTCGAGGCCAGCCTGCTCTACAAAGCGAGTTCCAGGAAAGGCTCCAAAGCTACACAGAGAAACCCTGTCTCAAAAACAAAACAAAACAAAACAAAACAAAAAACAAACAAAAAGCCCAGAAAACAAAAAACCGTAATCCTCTTTTCTTCTAACACAGAGTGAATCTAGGAATCCAGTTGGAAAACGCTATTGTGTTCTATAAAGTGGAAACATTTCACAGAAATTCGTGTTCTAACAGTATAGCCCCGTGGAAGGTTTGTTAGTGAGTCCTCATAAAAGATTAGCTGAGAGAGAAAGGAGGAAGTGAGGAAGGGCCACAGGGCAAGGAGACGTTAAACAGCAGTGAGATTGTGATCACAGCCTTAGCTAGTTCTCAGGGAAATGGAGAACCAGAAGCCTGTCCATAGTTGTCCTCAGCTGTATCTCTGCCCTCCGAGGAGAGTGAGTCCAGGAAGGCAGTCTCCTGCAGTGTGTGTATGTGGGGGGGGGGGGGCAATTCCTAGTGAAAGGTGCCAGGGAGGAGGGGACAGTAGACATTCCTAGGGACATCAGAGGGGACCCAAAGAGAACATAATGTATGCACAACTGTCCTTCTTCCCCCCTTTATTAATGGCAATGAATGTCACCTGGTGCAGAACACCGAGTGCCTACATCATACTCCCCACGAGACTGAAGAGAACAAGGAGAACAGGACAGGTCCCTTCCTTCATTCTCCCAGGGCCCACCCTGATTTGTTGTGGACCCTGCCCATCTGAACTAGCTCACACCTCCGTGCCTGTGGTCATCAGAATGATGATACAGGATAATGAGGTCACATGTGGACCCCTTAAAGAAGCCCAGGAGCCACTTTCCCTTCACCTCAGTCTTCTTGGACCCGGGAAAGCCTGAGAATGGGACAATGTGTACTGGTTGTCATGGCAACCGTGGATGGAGAATTCATTATTATACCCAAGCGTGATAATCTGCAGGAAGCTGGTCTCAATATTTCTGTCACATCAGCTGCCTTCCTCACAATCTAGCAGTGCAAGGGGTCTTGATGTTTATGAACCAGCTTGGAGACGTTAGTTGGTATATTAAATCATATGTACATTCTCCCATCATCTTTTGGGTTTCATTAACCACCTATCGTTCACCCCCACCCCGAGAAGATTAGGGTTTTTATCTTGCCACAAAGCTGCATAACACTGATGCTTTGTTCGGGAACGCCATTGTTTCCCGAGTCTCTGTATTCATCTTCAGCTCTGTAAGAGCTCTGTTGCTCGCTATAACTTCATCGTGGAAACACAGTGACCAAGAGGTCTCTCCTTTCACTCATCCCCTTTTCTGTACACCCCACCCCACTCCAAACATCTCTGTGTTCAGACAAAGAGAACTGAAACCTTCAGGACTTCTTCAAGGCTCATCAAGGGTCTGTTGTGCTACTGGGCAAGCAGGAGGCTGCTTATGAGTCACTGTTCTTCCTGATGAGGTGGGATGGGGGCCTCAGGTGCACCCAAGGCAGCCAGGGAAGCTGTGAATAATAAGGAGGAGCCAGGCTGTGACCTGAGCCATGTGCTAATGCTCCCAGGCCAAGTATCTTCTTGCTTTTTCCCATTGAGCAGGGGCAGGTAATGAGGCCACTCAGAGACACTGAGAGACTTATCCCTCAGCATGCAATATGCTTGCATTTATCATTTTGCTGATGGTTTTGCCCAAACTGGTGGCATTGGATGCTACCTTCTGTGTCCCAGCATGGGCTGTCTATAGCGGGCCGCTGGATAGCGGGATGTGCCCGGTGCCTCCACAAGTCTCAGAAACACATGGATGGCTAGATTTCGGACAGTGGCAGAAATCCCTGTTTTGTTTAGTTTCAGCCTCTTGGCATTCCACGGACGTCGAGAGGGCCGGAGAGGGGAATAGCATGACTATGACCATGACGAGTTACATGACAGGCTTGAACTATGTGTGTCAGTCAGATTTTCTTTACTATAACGAAAGCTCTGATAAAAATCAACCTAAAAAAGGAAAGGCCAGTTTTGGCTCCTGATTAGAGAAGTTTCTAGCCTATGGCTTTTGGGCCTGTGAAGAATTAGTCCATCATGATGGGCACAAACTGAAGAAGAAATGGTTTTCCTCATGGTGTCTTGGAAGCAAATCAGGAAGGAAAAAAGAGAGGCCAGCATCCTGACATCCCCATCAAAGGCAGAGCTCCAAAGACTTAACTTCCTCCCACTGAGCCTTACCCGCTAAAAGCACACTGCCTCCCAACAGCATCATGTGCTGGTGGGCAGCCTGTTAGCACACAGTCTTTGAGGACACTGACTGGGAAGGCAGTCCTCCTGCCCAGTCACAGAGCTGGATGATGGCAGGCCACAGTGTGCCCCTGTGAGCCTGCCCCACCTGTGACTTGTAAAGGTCTGCTTCAGGAGACTTACCATAGAATGATGATGTGTTTAGAATTGTCCTCCTCATCCATTACACTGAGATTAAGTTGGTATTACCTTTGCTCTTCGCCTGCTGGATGTGGTGAGAGGGTCAGGGAGCAGACATTTCATGGGCCAGTTTTAGAGGGTAGAAAAAGGTTATCAATAAGCTCCTCAAATCAGCACCACTCTGAAAAGAAAAGCAAATGAAAATGTCAGCTCTACAATTCATTTCCAGTTTGTTAGTTGAAAGCAAAGAAGATTCCCTTCTTGGTAGACACCTGCAGCATTAGAACGATGTGCAGAGGAAATGTCTGTGCATGGTGTGTTGGACAGTGTGCGTTTATTTTAAGTAAGCATTAAATTAAAAAAAAATCCATGCCTCATTTTCTCTAACCCAAATAAGATGTAATACAGAATTAGACCTTTGAGAGCACCCCAGTACTTGGAAATGGTATCTAATATGTACTAAGGCACACTGTCGTCTTCTCCTTTTAGAGCAAAACCTGGACAGGTAGAAATAATCATTTCAGCATGAATCAATTGCTCAACTTCTGAAAATAGTATAGAGTGCCAGAAAAAAGCTATTAAAAAAATCAAACCGGGATGTGGTGGCACACACCTTTAACCTCAGCACTCAGGAGGCAGAGGCAGGCGGATCTCTGTGAGTTCGAGGCCAGCCTGGGCTACAGAGTGAGTTCCAGGACAGGCTCCAAAGCTATACAGAGAAACCCTGTCTCAAAAAACCACCACCAACAACAACAAAACAAAAGAAAGCAAAAAACTTTGATTTTTAAATTAAGTAAAATAATTGTCTTTAATAATAACCTCTTCTCCTACATTACTAGAGATCAAAGTGTAAATTCAGAGTCTGCAGAGCTAACTCAAAAGAGAGGAAGAAGAAAGGGAGGGGGGAGGAGAGAAGGAAGGCTGAGGGAACATATACTCTATTGAGCTCTCGCTTTTCCTCAGGCCCTGGAAGTCCAGTCTAGTCCCAAATGTCACAGGAAGCATCAAACAGCAAGCTGCCTTCACCCACTGACACTGTGGCATGAATTAAGTCTATCATGTTGAGGATGGGGGTCTGGGCAGGATGCTGATGGAGGAGAAGGGTTAACAGGATGGCATTGGCCCTAAACGCTGACTGCAGTTGCTGCTCTGGAGAGTCTAGAGTGCAATGAGGGAACGCTTCGGTCAGATGAAGGGCAGCAAACCTCTGACAGGAGAAGGGAAGAGCTTTGGAAGGCAGAGCAGCATCTACAGGCTCTTGCTATCTGTGTTCAGAGTAAGCGAATTAAGAAACAGCTGGTGGGAGGGACCCTGCTCACCCACCACCACACTTAGACCCCCAGGAAAGACCGAGATGGGTGCTGGAAACCTCCAGTCCAAACACCTCTCAAGGAGTGAACAGCTCCCTGTTGGAAATGGAGCTCCTGAGTCCCAAGGGGTGTGGTTTTTCATTTGTGTAGTTGCAAGCTGGAGACTTGACCTAGTATTCAGGAAAATAAAGATGATCTGTCCCAACTGGAGTGGAAAACTGAACTGGACTGCCTACCGAGAGGCAGACAGAAAGGCAGACAGGATGCTTCCTACGGTACCTCCTCAAGTAATTTTGACTGTTTTTTTAGTCTTCGTAGAACCTCACACCCTTGAAAGACCTTGGCAGTCTACTGATCACAAGGCACTGAAAGAAATTCTCAACTGCCACCTCACTGAGTCAAATCCACACACTGGTAGAGGAGGTACTTGATGATTGGAGCTGAGGCTAGAACAGAAGTCTGGAGACTGTGCTGCCTGGACCACTCCTTAATAACACAGAGGAAAGCTGATGGCTTATTGAGCAAGGAACATTTTATTGCTTGACGTTATAACTGTCCTGATGAATGCACACACTGTGATTGAGTCAATATTCAGCGATGTTTCGAAAGTGAGACGTGGAATGTAAATTCTTTCTTCTATCTTTCTTAGTTTGGAGCAAAATGCTCATTAAATTCTAGGTGCATCCAGCTGCCTCATTTCCCCAATGCTGAGGGCATAGGGCGGGACTGTGGAGAGCAGACACACCTCTGTATTTGAATCTGATGGCTGACAGAGAGGGCGGGAAGGATGGGCGGGCTTACGTGCCAACCCTCAGGCCTGGGGCAGGAGGCTTGTGTGCCTTTCAACAACTCTAAGGAGATTATTTTATTTGATGCATTTGAATATAATTTCTCATTTTGCCTTTCTTTAAAAAGCCTCGGCCTGTTTTGCTCTAGACAATTATCAGTGTGTAAACTGCTCTCTCTCCTTTTATATCTAAGTCACCACAGTTTTTCCTTTTAAAACCTTGCTCAGGGACTTATCAACTTCACGGGGCAACTTCCTTGAATGTATCGTAAACAGTTTAATTACATTTCTGTGAATTCTGGAGAGTCAGACCACTCTTAACTCTGACATTTACTGAACAAAAGGCCCTGGCTGAGTAAGATCTCTTTTGTGTTTTGTTTTGTTTTTCTTAGTTCACAGCTGAATTTTGATCTAGCTGACAAACAGCTACTTTTAACCCCTTCCTAAGTCTGGAAGTGATGAAGAAAGGTTCCAAGTTTGCTCCCCAAGTAACACATGCTGAAGAGGCCCTTGTCACACAGTTGGTCATATGCAGAAAGAGACTGCCAGGAGTCTCCAGGGGGGAATTTCCAGCATCGCATTAGCTTGGGTCAACACTCAGCACTTAAATGCTCTCTCAGTAGGATTTCAGCATCCCCTTCACCAGGAGAAAGCTCATGTCCCCCGGAGATGGGAGTCCAGCTGGGGCATAGTCCAGATGGAGCCCTTTCATGCTTTGCATCCAGAGGACCAGAGAACCTCACCAGCACTTTCTTTCCTCTCCTTGAATCTGCAGACTGTGCCTCCACTTTCCACATCAAGGTACTCAGAAACTCCCTTTGATTCTGTTTCATAAGCACCTCATGACTTGACTTTGGGCCCTGCCTCCCTTCTCGATTGTTGTTTGTGTGTGTGGTGTATATGTGGGCATCAGTGCATGTGTGTGCACATAGGTTTGGAAGTTAGAAGTCAATATCTTTCTCAATTAGCTCTCCATCTTATTCTTTGAGACAGGATCTCTCGATGAACCCAGAGCTCACCAGTTCAGGAAGATTATCTGGCCAGAAAGCTCTAGGGAATCCACCTGCCTCTGATTTCCCCATATCTGCTGGGGTCACAGATATGCACTGCCTCCCTGGTTTTGCATATGGGTGATGGGAACCTGGACCTAAGCCCTCATGCTTGCTTGACCAGAACTTTACCAGCTGTGCTGGCTGGTTTTATGTCAACTTGACACAAGCTAGAGTCCAGAGAGAGGAGGGAGCCTTAACTGAGAAAAATACCTCTATGAGATTAGGCTGTAGGCAAGCCTGCAGGGCATTTTCTTAATCAGTGATTGGTGGCGGAGGGCCCAGCCTATTGTGGGTGATACCACCCCTGCCTGGGCTGGTGGTCCTGGGTTCTATAAGAAAGCAGGCTGAGCAAGCCAGGGGAAGCAAACCAGTAAGCAGCACCCCTCCATGGCCTCTGCATCAGCTACCGCCTCCGGGATCCTGCCTTGTTTGAGTTCCTGCCCTGACTTCCTTAGATGATGAACAGTGATGCGGAAGCATGAGCCAAATAAACCCTTTTGTTCCCAACTTGATTTGGTCATGGTGTTTTATCACAGCAATGGTAACGCTGACTAAGGCCCCTCCCCCACGGATGTTTCCTGCTGATAGCCCATGTTTGATGCTGATGTCCTCAGTTCATCTGCCAATCTGCTGCCAACATGATCTTTCCAGAATGTAAACCCGAACACTGAGACCTCCTGCCTAAAGCTTCTCTCTAGCCACACACGTTCCTTACGTATTGAACTAGAGACAGTAGAGAATGGCAATGCCCATTCTCTGTTTCCCTCCCACCTCCCTTTGTCCCGAGAGCAGAGTATTTAGACTTCAAATGCGCGAAGGCCACTTCTCTAATTTCATGCCCCGGTTCTTTGCACAGGATGTCCCCAGCTCCTCTGCCCCTAGATGCTCTTCCATGCCCTACCCCAACCCCGTGTGTCTTTCAGACTCACGTCTGACATGCTGTCTCCTATGGAAGGACTTCTCAGGCTATCCCCTCTCATCCTCCCTCAACAGAGTTCTCCCTCCTCCCTGGACACACCCTCCCTCCTTAGTGCATACCCAGTTACTTGTGTGCCCATTTCTGGGCAAAGAGCGCTTGGAGGCTGGGGACTGTGTCATCTCATGATGGAGCAGGAGGTGGTGAACAGTCTCCTGGCAGCCACTGGGAGCAGAAAGGTGAACACTGAATGTTCCTTGTCCTTTTAGGGTCCTGGACCACACAGCTAGAAACAAAAGAACAAGCAGCTAGTTTTTCCATCACTGTGACAAAATAACTCTGTAATGAACTTGTAAAGAGGACGTGCTGGCTCAGTTCAGAGGGTCCAGTCCATGGCTGGGAAGCCTGTGGTTTGGGGTGCTGATGGCAATGGAATTCTGGTAGAACAAACTGCTCCTTTAATGGCCAGGAAACATGTATGGGAGTATGCCCCAATGACCTAAGACCTCCCACAAGGCCTTTCACCCAAAAGGCCCATAGCATCTCCTAATAATGCCATCCTGGAGGCCAATGTTTTAATGGATAAGCTTTGGTGGTCATTCAACATCTGAACTATAGGAAGACAGACTCAGAATACAACATCTGGGATGTGAGAACCAATGAGGTTGAGTGGTCAATTCAACTTGATATTGACAGACTGTTGACCTCCACGTCACTTGATATAGTATCAAACCCAAGAGTCATCATAGTCTTCAAACATTTCATTGTTTTAGGGGCCCCTGCAAAGTAATTCCTGATAGTAATTTTGTCTTAATTTTAAGGGTTTCCTATTAGAATTTTAGTTATATACTTAGAAGCAACTGGAAGGCTAGAAGCATGGGTATTTCATTCCAGGCTATTTGATTGTTCCGATATAAGAATCTCACAACTGTATAGCAGGGATGGTACCATATCAAACAGAAGCATATGCTCAGCCTTTATTAAATGCTGCAGTTGTTCAGATCGAGAGCTGAATAGATCCTAACACGTCCTTGCCTCTTTTCATCTAGCTGCTGATCTGCCCTTCTCCGGCTTCATTATGTAAGAGAGCCAGTCCACTCAAGCAAGGGAGCACCCCCCACCCACTAGTTTACTTATTTCAGACAAAGCTCCAGGGAGCCCAAGTCTCTAAAGTGGGGTTTTTACATAAGCTCAAGATGGCTGCTGGCACTGGATGAGGGCTCTGGGTTTGCTCCCCAGAAAAGGGCAGGATGCATGTACATCACGCTGCCTGCTATTCCAGGGTGTTCACGTGCCCCGTTTCTAACGGTTACAGATGTGTTGATTTAACTCTACAGTTAGTACAGTTTCTCCCTGAAAACCTTTTCATTGCTGGGAGAGGAAGACTGTGTCTGCTCTCTGTACCCATACTTTGGTGATACACACTACATAATAAAGGACAGCGTGCAGGTGGAGTCTTAGGCTGCTTTAAATTATAGGCAGAGAGAGGAAGGGTGGGAGAGAGAGAGAGAGAGAGAGAGAGAGAGAGAGGGAGAGAGAGAGAGAGAGGTTTAAAGCCCCCTAAAATCTCAAGTTGAACCCGAGAAAGCCAAGCGTACCGCAGGCCTGACAAACACTGACACTTTTGGAAGAGTTACTGGTCAAGCCTTAGATGCCCGCAGTGCCAAGCAAGGCATTGAAATCATTGAGATTTGTCTCTTGTTTGGTATCAAGGGCATTCATCTTGCCTCTTCAATTTTTTTTTCATTTCCAAAATGCATGTTTAAAAAAGAAAAACAAAAAACAGACAATAGTCACATAAAGTGAAAAGTAGCCAGTAAGTTACCATGGTTACAGATATGCTTTCTCTTTCAAATTTCTAAGTAATAACTTGTGCTTTTATATTTGGCTTGGCAATTAGAAAGTCAGCCTTTGGTATCAGCATGTTCACTCATAAACCATTATTTTGAATAAAGACTACTTACATACAAAGAACCGGATTTGGTGTCTCATAGAAATTTGCAATCTAATTATTTTAGTCTGGAGTTTTGTGATCTGCAAATTTACCACATTGTCCACAGTCAGTAGACTTTTCTTCTAAATATATTTGTCCTTTCTTTTTGTTTGGGTTCTCTGGCTCCCTCTCTGTCCCCCCCACTCCTCTCTCAGCTATGTAACGGGGGCTCTGTCACCGAACTTGTCAAGGGCCTCCTGAGACGTGGCGAGCGCCTGGACGAAGCTGTGATCTCCTACATCCTGTATGGAGCCCTCTTGGTAAGAATGTCCGTGGTGTAGAGGGGACAGTTTGTGCCACATTAACAATGGGAACTCCATCTGGGGCTGGTGTGACCCATGTGGACTTTGATGAGACTGTTGGATTGATTTGCGGACGGCTCCAATTTCTCTCTTCCTCTCTCTCTGTCCTGCGGTGATGCTGGGACACCGGACAGGGCCTTCAGCATCTGCACCTCCATCGAATCATCCACCGAGATGTGAAGGGGAACAACATCCTCCTGACAGCCGAAGGAGGAGTCAAGCTCGTTGACTTTGGTAATGACTGTGGCATTTGTTTTTCTTGACGCAAGCAGCTTTAGCTGAAGGGGACAATTTATTGCAGTCTCTGAGGACTGGGGCCTTTCTGCTGCTCACAGGCTCAGGGACTTTCCAGGCAAATGGGCTGGAGAGTAGGGGGTTCTCCAGATGGATCGCCCTCAGAGATGCGCTTTCCTAATTATTTTCAGCTTTCGAAGCAGTTTTATTAAAAAAAGAAAATAAAAGTATTGCAAAAGAAAAACTTCACGGAGAATGGTATTTTGGTTTTGTTTGTTTTTTGTTTTCCGTGAAAGTTTCCCACCTCAGGGCAACTGTCTGTAATTTACATTTTTCATCTCTCTTTTGCATATGAAAAGAGAAAGCTGTTTGGTTTTTGAAATGACTTTCTCTAGCCTTAGGCATACTTATTTGCAGCGCACAGAAGGTAAACCGGTCCTCTGGGCCTGGGAGATGTGAAATTCTGACTATTGCCTCAACACGTGAGGCATGCTGACCTGAAAACATTAACAGGAAATGTAGACAGTATCATCTGAGGCCAGAGAATATTGACTCTTCTCCAACATTCTGTTTTGATAGTCCTAAACCAACAAGCCATTTAGTTTTCCTTTGTGTTTGGCATATGGAATGGTTTGCTCTTCTAAATAAGTTCAAGGTTAGCTACAAATAGTGAGAAACCATTTAGAACACTTCAAAACGTCACCAATATCACCATAGTAAAAATAAGATGGTGGTTTTTAATATTCATTGTTTTGCCGATAAGAAATAATTTGGTCTAACGATGTGTCTGCAAATGATTTGTGTGGAAGAAGTGATATAAGAATAAATGAAGTTGGAGCTGGAGAGATGGTCAGTTGTTTAGAGCATCTGCTGCTCTCGAAACCTATCTGGAGGCTCACAGCTGTCTGCCGTTCCAGTTCCAGAGGACATGGCACTGTCTTCCAGCCTAATCAGTCTCCTGCATGCGTGTGGTGCACATACATACAGACAGACAGATAGACAGAGAAAACACTGACACACATAAAATATAAATAAATTTTAAAAATGAAGTTGCTTTAGGTGTATTGGCCTGTGTTTTAAGAGGCAAACCAAGAAAAAGGGTAGAGGAGGTGGGTTGTCTGAGGCTGTGATCCTCTCAATAGGAGAAATGACCGGACTGTAGCCATGTGCTGTAGTACAATGTGTTTTCTACATGGCCCTGAGGGCATTTAATATTCCAGAAGAGGGATAACTTAGAAGGATGAGGATAGATTTTAAAACCAATTTATCCACATAGCAGCTTTGCAAGCTTTGAGAGAGAAAATGTTCTTAATCTTCCCAGTAAAAAGTTCCTGAACCTCCGGTTGCTCTAAAAGAAATTTCTAGAAATTAAAACCAGAAAGGTGTAATTGTTTGTTTACTGCATTGTTATGGAGGACTTAGCACAGTGGGGATTAGCTGGGGCACTGGGACATGTGTATAGTCCCAGCTACTGGGAAGGCTGAGGTGGGAGACTCACTTGAGTCTGGGAGTTTGAGGCCAGCCTGGACAACACAGTAGAGTCCTTGTCTCAAGTGTAGGGGCTGGGAGATGGCAGCCCTTCCAGGCTCTTTAATAAGGAAAATGCAAATGGCGAACGTGGAAACCAGCCTCATCATCCAGGGCCTGGGGTGTGTGTGTGTGTGTGTCCGTCCATTGAGAAGCAGCAGACAGTATTTAGACATGAGTTCGTATCTTCAGTTGCAGTAGTTCCAACATTTCTCATTTTCTTCAGGGCTGTGCTAGACTTCTGCTTAGTATAAAAAAATACATTTATAAAGTACACATGACACGATTATTCTCATATTTGGTATTAGGAGAACCTATAAATTAGGTGTGATTGTTACCCTTATCCTAGTTTGAAGATGGGAAAACTGAGGCTCAAAGATGAGGCAGTCACACCACCAGTGAAAGGCATAGTTGACTTGGGAGGTGGGTCTCGGGACTTCCAATCCAGTCTACATTTGCTTCCACTGTATTTGATGGTACAAAGAAGAGAGGTCATCAAAGGACATTGGAATAATATTAAAATTCAGGTCTTCCACAGTGAGCTTTAGATAACAATGCTGTCAATTTCTTTTTCCATTTGAGAAGCATTGCTTTCTTGCCAAGTTTCTAGTCTTGTAGGCTAGATAAGGCCTGGAATCTTTTTGTGTCTACACTGATGCTCTATTATAGATAATGCTTGCCAATCTTCCTCCTCCATAAAATGAAGCACTTATTGAAGAAATTGTCTGAAATAATTGGGAAACATAATAGGGAGATATTTTGGGTTGATCATAGTTGTTGATATTTTTCTTTATGTTCCAGATTTGCAGCTATATGGACAGGAACCTTATTCATTAGGAAACACAGGTTCTGATGCTTTAGATAGAATTTAGATTAAAACTCCATTCATGGGTTGGCAAAGCACATGGGACAAATATGCCCCACCTTCTATTTCTATGTAGCCCATGACCTAAGAATTATGTGTATATGCGTATCCAGTCATTGTAGTTTGAGACCAGATCTTGTTATATAGCTCATACTAGCCTCAAACTCACTATGTAGCCCAGTCTGGGCTTGAACTCTTGATACTCTTACTTCATTCAGCAGGATCCTAAGTCCAGAGATTGCAGACATGTGCTACCATACTTAGATTTTTATATTTTTAATGACTGCTAAAAACTCAAAAGAATAGATTATGACATGTGAAAACTGTACTCGATTCAGATTTCAGCATCCATAAATAAAGTTTTATTTAGGTATGGCCACACTTCCTCATTGCTGTGTTTTCTGTGGCTGCCTTAGCACACTATAGCAGCAGTTAATTATGACAGGGACCATGACACCTAAAATAGTTACTATCTAGACTTTTATGGAAAACAGCCAACCTCTATCTAGTATCTTCTGCTCACTGCTGAACTCTGATCCCCTTTTCCCGCAGGTGTCTCTGCTCAGCTTACAAGCACACGCCTACGGAGAAACACATCAGTTGGGACCCCATTCTGGATGGCCCCTGAGGTAAGCAGGAACTATCTAGTTCTTTGCGCTTGTTGAGTGCCTTGGTGTTGTGCCTTTTTTTTTTTTTTTTTTGGCAAGACTCATGCTCTCTACAATTTTCAGGAAGAAAATCCTTTATCCTTAGAAGACTCTAAAATCCTTGTGGGTGAGAGATACTGATAAGATGGTCTCAGAAGCAGGATTATGTCACAGCCAGCCCACAAGGAGCCTTCATGCCATTAGGAAAAGAGAGGCAGTTCCTACAAGGGTCTTGGCTTGGCACGTTCATCTAGCCTTCACCTACATTAGAAACAGCCACCTTTCCTAGATACATGCACTCCACAATCCGTGGCTTGGTGGAGAGTCTCCTTTTAGCTCCAAGCAGCCTACAGAGCTGCATGCACTGCTCCCTGGCTGTTTCTACCATGTACATGGCAACTTCTCTTGTGTACGTCGTTAGCTTTCTGCGACAGAGCAGGATTTGGTCCTAATTTATTTCTGGCCTCAGTACAGAGATGAGGCAGGCAGAAGTGGGGGAGCTTTCCAGCTGGGGAGAGCGTGTGTGAGTCACCCGGGCAGGCAGCGTGCTTGATAGGTCAGCATTCTCTCCCCAGCACTCCGACTTTCACCTGAAAGACCTCTCTGGGAGAAAGCAAATGGATTCCTTAAGTCAGAGGACAAAGGCGGTCACTGTCCCCCCTCCGCCTCCCAGATAGCTTTCTGTCTCCAATCTGTCTGCATGGTCAGTCTTCTGTATGATAGCCCATGTGGTCTCCTAAGACAGCAGGTAACTCACACCAATCTCTGCTCAGTTTTCTTCAGTGTGCTCTACCGTATATAGCCTTCCATTTTTTATTTGGGTAATGAACAGACCCACTTTAAACAAAAAGAAAAAGCTGGCAGATTACAGTATTTACTTATTGTACATGTTTTTTAAATAGGTTCAAACATATGAAGCTGGATGTAAACGTTTTATCTGTAAAAAAATATTTAAAAATCACAAAGCCACCAACGGTCAAATCAGCAGTTTAATGAAGCAGATGCCATTGTTTGAGGTGTGATTTGTGTTTTGCCATGGGATTGTGTCTCGGCACACAATTGTGGGTTCTTTGAATCTGGCATGTAATCTATTACCACATACCCTGTGTTGACCTAGTCTCCTTCCTCTCCCCCACCTTAGCTGTGTTTCAGTCCACGTGATCTCTCTTTGCAAACAGTATCTCCTCTGACTTTCAACTGTTGCTTTCTGTAAGCTGGGCACAGTTTCACAGTAAAGGAATGCGAGCACTAAAGCTGTATGGCAAATGATCTGAGATATTTGCATTTGTGGCAATACACTCACTGAAATAAAGATGAAGAAATACATTTTCATTTGTGAACCCCATGGGGAGGATGAGATCATAATTTCTTTGGATGGTATCATATTCTTACCTCTTTTTATCTGTCCAGGTTCATTTTCAATTCCTTTCCCCTAGCTCACTTCTTATTCTCCAACAGTAGTGAGCAACAGATTTCCCTCCCTCGTCCCTGGCCCACATTGAGGCTCTTACTGATGTCTAGGTCGGAGATTGTCACTGCAGCTGCTACACCCTCAGCCTGCCATTAGCCACTGTCGTCTCTGCACAGTGATGGGCAGGACTCCAGGACTCGGAGCTTTGGTGGGGATGCGGATGCTGACTAAAGTCTCCACCCCCTGCTGGTCCAGGGTAGGTGCTCAAAGGACGTTTGCTGGATAAATGAATGTGTTGGCGGTGGGGGTTAAGATAAATGGAGTGGAGTTCAGAGGAGGCTCCAAAGCTGTCGGAATTGGCGAATTCCTCTTTAGATTTCATTCCATCTGTCCTGAAAGGGAAGCCTAACCGAAGTCACTCAGCTCATTGGATGACCTAATGTGGAAGATGGCATTCCGGTTCTAATCTCAGCAAACTGGTTCTCAGAACCGCAGGATAAGATGGAAAGAGCCCTTCCCTGGCTTTGTGCATTTGTTAGATTGTAGCTGGAGTTTTCCTGCCTGGCCCACAGTCAGGACAAATCTTTGTCACCCGCCAGTCCCACAGCTGCTCAGACCCAACCAAGTAAACACAGAGACTTATATTGCTTACAAACTGTATGGCCGTGGCAAGCTTCTTGCTAACTGTTCTTATAGCTTAAATTAATCCATTTCCATAAATCTATACCTTGCCACGTGGCTGGTGGCTTACCGGCATCTTCACATGCTGCTGGTCATGGCGGCAGCTGCAGTGTCTCTCCGCCTCAGCCTTCCGCTTCCCAGAATTCTCCTCTCTCCTTGTCCCACCTACTTCCTGCCTGGCCACTGGCCAACCAGTGTTTTATTTATTGACCAATCAGAGCAATTTGACATACAGACCGTCCCACAGCATTAGATGGTGGTGGCTTCCCAGCTTCAGTTGGGTTGAGGAAAGCGTGTGGAGTCTTTCTGCAAGGGACAATGAGGAGGCCCATGGTGAGCTTCTGCTCCCCAGACTGCCTGGCCATGGCTCCCTTCTCAGCAGGGAAATCCAGTGTCTCCCCTATCTACTGCAGTGGATGAACTGAAAAGCGGGAATTCCCAGAAGTGGGACCTTGACAACATCATCAGGAGCAGGTTTCTGATGGCCCCATTCAGGGTTCTCTTAGGATGAGTGCTGGGTCCCAGCCTGCAGTTTTTAGCTCGTATCATCCTCACACTCCAGTCTTTGAAATGGAGTATCACTTTTTCCAGCCAAGCTTCACTGTGCTCGGTGGCCCTTCATGTATACCCACAGGAACAACCTCCCATTTGACAGATCAGGCAGTATTTATGCTTTCCACTGTGAACAGTGCTTTGGATCAAACGCAGTGTTTGAAAAATAGAATCAGAAATGGTTCAAATTAGCATTGTCTTCATGTGGAGCCTGAATATGATATCGCTTGTATATGCTTTCCCTTCAGTTTGTGTGAGGAAGTGGATTTAGATTAAATGCAACAGCACCTGTCCTAACAAGGCCAGTGGATAAGACTTGCAGATGGCCTATACTTTATTTTTTAAATGCAATGGAAAGATCCTTGATCTTATTTTATTTCTGAGAAACCAAACCATTATTCCCTTCCATTTCTACGACACCAGCTTGAGTAACTGTGATATTTAATTTAAATAGGCTACCCTACAAACCAGGTAGCTAACGGAATGTGACCATACCACCATCAAATGCTGACGAGCTGTCAAGACTCACAATTCACTCGGGCTGCTAAAAGCTGGTCAACATTCTCCATCCCTTCTTCACGGCCATCGGCGGGCACTACCCACATAGAAGAATGTTGGTGAAGCTGTATCGACCCAGCAATGTGTGTGTGTGGGGGGAATCTACAAGATGCTCACACTTGGAAACAATACTGCTGGGAAAATAAATTCCGAGCATAGGAAAAGGGACCGTCTGAACGTCAAGATCAGTACAAATCCTTATGAACTAAATACATAAGTAGCATACTGTAGCTACAGGGAAGATAATCCTAAGAGGTAAAAAAACAAAAACAAAAAAACAAAACAAAACAAAAAAACCTCAGCATGAAAGATATATTTTAGATTGCCATGAGAAAAATAATTTAGACAATAAAAACCTGTTTTCATATGAAGGGAACAGAGGCTGGTGAGTCTAGAGTTTGTGATTTGGCAGCACAATGATGTCACCAAAGTCCAAGATCCCCCCTTCTCCCCCCCCCAATACTGGGGCTTGAGCCCAGGATTTTATGGGGGCCAGACAAGTGTTCTATCACTGAGTTGTACTCCCAGTCCTGAGACCTGTAGCATGAATCTTAAAAGGTCTTATTAATAAAAACAAACTCAGAGCCAGGTATTGGGGTGAACGCTGAAAGATCAGAGAAGCAGAACAAGCCACAGCCATCTCGCCTCACCAATTCCTCAGCTGATCCTGTTTCCTTAGACTGGAAGTCTCTGAGTCCTTATCTAAATGGGTATCAGCTGAACTGCTGCTCAAAAGCCTAAAAGCTTAACCAAGTTCTAGTTCCTTGTCCTCACACCTTAAATACCTTTCTGCTTCCTGCCATTACTTCCTGGGATTAAAGGCGTGAGTCACCATGCCTGGATGTTTCCAATGTGGCTTTGAACTCACAGAGATCCAGACGGATCTCTGCCTCTGGAATGCTAGGATTAAAGGCGTGTGTGCCGCTATTTTCTGGCCTCTATATCTAATGGGTGTTCTGTTCTCTGACCCCAGATAAGTTTATTAGGTTGCACAATATTTTGGGGAACACAATATCACTACAGAGACCCCAGTTCTCAAAACCTCCCTGGCTAGGTTTGCTACAAGCTGTATGCCTTCGTTATCCAGGGGCTGCCTTGGTGATGGGTGTATAGGCATGTCCGTGATGGTCAGTGAGGCAGGGGTGGCTCTGGTGCTTCAGTAGCCACAGAGAAAGGACTGGGTGTGGTAAGACCCCATGGAAGCCTGCCCTGACTCCAGCTGTGAACATCTGTCACAGGTCTGCTGTAACACAGCAGCATGGAGTGGGTAACTCAACACAGCCCCACAGAGATGGATCTGCTCTTAGTCTGGAGGTTAGAAAGTGGGAATGAGATGTAGAAAGTCTTGTTCTCTCTGAAGCATGCCCCCCCTCCTCCGCCTTTATGTCTTCTGCTGGAGATTAGCTGGCAGTCCTCAGTGTTTCTTGGCTTGCAGTAGCATGGCAGTAGTCTCTACCTTCGTGGTACCATGGTATTCCTCCAGCATGTCTCTGCCTTCATGTGACTGTCTTCTCATGTGGGCCCTGGTCTCATGGGTGAGGGGACCACCTCATTCCAGCATGACTGCATCTTAACTAGTTGCACCCAAGTAGCCCTGCTTTCAGTTAAGTTCATCTTTGTGGTTCCTGGGAGTTAGAACTTCAACATTTTTCATTTGGAGGATACAGTCCATCCTCTAACAACTCCCCAGGTACTCAATGCTTTGTAGAACAGTGTTCAAGTTCCTAAGGCTCTTGGGTGACTGCTTGGGTGCCCCCAAGTGCTGAATGTCACAGGTGTT